CTATGAAAAGATACAGTATTAGGGTTTTCGATGAATTTCACTCATTTTAAACGATGTCAATACAACATTTTTCTTTAAAACTTACTACTAGTTGAATAACATACGCGATCAATGAGAAATGCGTACGTACTTGTAATCGAACTAAGTAAAGATAATATTATTTATGCTATATTGTTGACACAGCAATATTCGTTGATCCACTAGGCTCGTGAAATAGCATGTAATGTGCTTGCAACATCGATCACAAATTCTGTTGTACTTGAATTACGTGATGTTCCATTTTTCTCTGTTTGTTATGATGCTTCCAACAAAGGGAGTGCTAAAATGCTTCCAATCGTAGTTCAGTTTTTCTCAAAATTTGGTGTTAAACATGGGATTTTTGAGTTCATCGAACAACAACATGAATCAGCTGATGCATTATTCAATAATATAAAATATGTGATAGAGGCAAATGGACTTAATCTTAATCAACTCGTTTCAATTGGGTCCGATAATACCAACGTGAATGTTGGTAACAATCACAGCGTGTTTGCTTTATTTAATAAGTTGTTACCTCGTTTAATTAAAGGTAAAAAATTCGACAATTTCGAAATCTGTGCAAGTTATCTTCATGTTCTTTCACTTTAGGCAATTGCTATTCTCATATTCTTCATAACTCAGTAAAGCATGGGAATGAATATTTATTGTTTGATATTGAAGGTGTATTATTAAAGATATACGCTCATTTCGGTAGATCGTCAATTCGCTCACACGAGCTTACCAGATATTTCGAATTTGCTGAACAAGAGCAAAAAGTAATGAACCTTATCCCAATAGCTGCTATTCTTATTGATTATAGGATTCTAATTTTTGAATATTCTGTGACCATCTTCTTTAATTTAGGTAATTCTTAAACATATTCGAATACGATGGCTTAGTCTTTTACAATCTATTGAACGTCTTATTGCTGTAAATCCAGTTATTAAAAGTTATTTTTTAAATCTTGAAAACAATGAATGTCCGAACTTGTTGTTAAAGTTTTTCACTTCAAATAAAGGTAATGATTTCTTTATCGCAATGGCAACCAACGTGTTAAGTTATCGCCTTCTTTATAGGTGAATGTTCATTGTACTTTTTAGCGAACATTCTACCAGAAGTACAAGCTGCTAATTTATCATTACAACGTGAATATACAACTGGCGTTAATTTACATAATATCATTACAAGTTTAATTCATTAACTAAATAACCGTTTACAGGATGACTTTTTTGGTTGTAAAGTTGGTCAATTATTGAAAAACATTCAAAATTCGATAGAAGTCGATGATCTAAAAAAGTCTTTCAGATCTTTTATTCGTTCAGTTATTAGTTATATTGAAAAATATTATAATAATAATGCGTCATTTTATGAAGCGATTTCTATTTTCAATGAAATAAATATCGAGAAAATCGAATGGAAAAATATCCAACATTGTACCACTTATATCAATGATG